AGTACTAACCAAAAGTGTTTAGGGATCACGTATTGAAAATTACGGGTTCTACTTAATAATCACAAAGAATATAAATTGTATAAAATGTATCGATTGACACTCAACTCTAGAAATATCACTATGATATATCAGATTTATTTACGTAGAGTGTCAATCGATCCAAAACTTGATTTAATCAATATCAAACCCTTTCATTAATAGCAAATACATAGTTACTAAACATTCTCAACAGATTATTCTTAGCCTTGTTCTGTTTTAAAAACTGTCTAGTTGACCGTTATATCATATTTCTTTCGTGACAATCAAAGTGTTAATCGATGTTAGTTTCATTGCATTCCTCTCGTCCGGAAACGCTTATTAGCATAATTAGCGTATAATAATAACATAGGGTTGCATAATGCGTACAACGCCGTATACTGCGAGTCCCTTTCGTTACATATTTTTGGAAGCCTGTGCAACTTTCTTGCTTTGGCGGGACGCGTTAGTACTCGCGAACGCGTTAGCATTGGGGAGGCCTATAAGCCCTGGAGAAATCACTAAGTCCGGGTCTTCCTTTACACGTACGAATACACTGAATAGTAATTTTTGGGATTGTCTGAAAAGTTTAATTAAATGCCTCTAGAGCTTTCCGATAGTTTGCCACCTCGATCTTGTGTGCAATTTTTTAGCTGTGTGGAAGTGACTACCGCCCTTTTCATGAACCTCCAAAATTCCCGCCTACTGAGTGCTCCTTTCTACCCATGCGTCGACAATTATATCTGCAGTGCTCTAGAAAGATGTGAAATGTCACATTGACTATAAGTGATTATAAAGCAAACGTTCTTTACGTTCGGAGTACCAGATTTAGCAGTTGACTCAGCCGTTACCCGCATGCGAAAGTAACTGGATGCTATATTACTATATGCTATAAAGTAACAGTATGTGTGACATATCTAGCATAAAACATTTGCGATACTTATCTTTATTGACGGACAATAAGCTCTCAAATAACCTAAATTTGTAGAAACAAACAACGTATATTCCTTGGTGATTAAGAATGCTATATGACATAGAAAATTATACTCATATTCTGTTAATTATTAACTTTGAGAATTTTAATGAAACTTAATTGTTTTAAAATGTTATATTAGATCTTCTGTGAACGAAATGGAGCTGAAATACTTCGTTCGCAGAGCATATTCTACAGCATGAGCTCCACCTTTGAATTTACTATATGAGTAAATTCTTAAACACGTCCGAATATATCACTATGATAAATTCGCGGCACATTTTGAATTTATCACAATGAAAAATTCGCGGCATCTAACCCCTAACACTGACCGCAACCCTAACCCTAATCTAACTTTTTTAAACTTTCTTGAAAATCTAACTTTTAAAACTTTTTCTGTTTTAAGCATTTTTAAAAACTTTTTTAAACTTTTTTTGGAAAATCTTGTAAATCTCAGGGCGATTAGTGGTTAAAGGCACCCGAGGCGCGCGTAGCGCCGAGTGACTTTTACTGAACCTCTCGAGCTTAGTTACCTTTGGTCCATAATTATATGCGGCTGTAAACTAGAACAATAGTATAAAGTTGTGTCTAAAGTTGTGAATTGGGTATAAACCTTGAACGCTACACAATTTGTCCATTTGAACTCACGAAATTAATGAGATAGGAGGTAGTTTATATAAAGGTATTGTGCAGCTGCACTATTGTGTACGAGGTGTTACACACATACATTTCGTTTAACACATTAACAATGCCGTGAGGAAATAAGCCAACCATATATTGCCTTATCTTTGTCACATGAAAATGAAAATTAAGAAAAAAATCAACATACAGGGTGTCCGAAAGAAACCCAAAACTATCGAAAATAAATTATTATTGTTAGAATTTGAATGCCATAGCACTCTGCTCAACCCATAAGTCCATAAAAGCTTGACATATAGGTGAATTTTATGCATAAAGAAACTGTTTAAGTGAGCTTGTCTGTAAAAATCGCAGTAATTCGCCATTTTCTGGCAGATATGAAACACTGAAAGTTCTTCAATTTCCCTCGATTTTATATATATTGTAGACATATCCAACCCCACACATTTACTGAAGTCTCAGCCATGAAACAAGAAATGAAGAAAAGTTAGAGTACTTCAAAAATCGAATAAAAAATGACGCGAAATGTCCAAGAAATTTCGCTATACACAGCAGTAAACATCATGTGTTGTGCTGAGCGCGCATTATAAGTTTTGGTCTGCTGTTACAATATATATTTTTAGAATATATGGAAATTTCTCGTGATATCTTTTCCCCATAATGAAATTTCCCGGTTTTCCAAATTAGCCAAAGTACGTCTTGTGAATCGCCAATTAAAATATGGTCCTACCTTCTTTATAAATGTACTTATGCATAATTTGTTAGGGCTAGGATATAGTCATTCGACCTGTCGACCATGATTCCAGATGTTTGGGATTCCTTTGTGTCTTGGAGAAATTTGATCTTAAACATGCATGTACAATATTAGCGTAATTGGTGTTTGGATTTTTATTAACCGGCGCGTTACGCTTCCAGTTACGCTTGTTTTATTCAAAAAGTTAATATGCTTCACTGTAAAGGACACTGAGAACACACAGTTTACTTCTTAATGATTTTCTTTGCATTCAAGTTACTTTGTCTATAATATATGTGTATGTATATACACACTGCACGCACGCACGCACGCACATAACATCCGACGCCAGAACAAGTCTAGTTCACTCGACAGGAACAGCTTGCCAACACAGCGTGAATGAGTTGTAACATATCGTGTTTTCTTGCTTTTGAACAGTTGGTAGTATCATGATCAAGTCAAAAATGTTTGCAGATTCTCCTCAAGATCACTAAACTAATCTTCAAGAACCCCTTTCCGTTTTGCTGCTGCCATTCTTGAAAATGCGCTCCGTATTTGTTGTGCTGTCGACAATCATTCGGACGCTGAAAACATGCGTTACCATCGTACTAGAAAATACGTGCATGCAGCAACCACTCGCCTTTCTTAACAGAGGAAGTATAAAAAACCCACATAAAGTATTAAGACCATTATAAACAAATACAAAAACACAACTGATGCCGTGATGCGCTAGCTTTATAATGAACGATAACATTCACTGCAATTTCATGAATACCAGCTTGCATTGAAGCAGTGCAGTGCTGGGTACTATTTTTCTGGAGGGGCCAGTGGGCTGTCAACCAATATGCGCCCCTATAATGTTACACTTGATAAACGAGGGCCGAAGGCACGAGCCGAGTGCCGCAGGTGCGAGGTTTGTCTAGGGGGGTCCGGGGGCATGCCCCCAGGAAAATTTTTGAATTTAGAGTCTCTGAAATACCATTTCCTGGACTTTGGGTGAATATTTGACAGAAATCTGATGGTCAGGAAACGGCATTATAACGTGTAGAAATTTGCAATTTGGTTAGAATTTAGTAGGAGTACTTCAATTATGCAATGCTACATACTTCCAGCGATTAATCTAATCCCAATTCTGTTCTCCACTGATCCACTGTTCTGAGCACATTTACAACTTAAAGCTCTTTTATACAATAACACAATCACCCCACGCATATGCATTTTAAGGTTTCCTTGCCTGGCTGCCAAAAGGGCATGTTTCAGCATTATTTCATTACAACTAAATTGCACCGCTCTCGTGATTCGTGAAGCATAATAAAGGGAATAATGTAAGGGCATAATACCAGCAAAAAAGGGCATAATTCCCGAGATCGCTTCGATCGAAACCTGACCAATATTCCGGTAATGAGACATTGCCTGCGATCACTGATCATGTTTCTATATGAACGATTTCGTGTGAGCTGTGAGGTAGCAAATACGGTTATGCAAAATAGTCTGTAATTTAATATATGTCGCCTATGCGCTTAGTCTTTTTTAAACTGTAGCCTATAAACACGTCTTTTCTTGGCGGAAGTAACGATATTTTTTCGAGAATGCGTTTTTTCCAACCCACTTTCAAAATTCGGCGCCCCATTTTTATTTTTGCGCCGCCCAAGAATTGCCAGCTGGGGGGGGGGGGCGTGGCCCCCATTGAAGTGAATTATCGAGTTAAAAATGGCTTAAAAATTTTGCAGATATGAATAAAACCGACAACACAAAGCAAGTACGGCATGGCATTTTACTACTGAAATTACACTTTCTTTCTTTTTTTTTACAAACTTAGTCATAAAAGACAGGTTAACCCTACAGAGCTTAATGCTCCATTTACAGGGTCCGTAATAATATGTATATATGTATATATAAAAAACAGAAAACAACAACAAGATTACATTATTTTCAACACATTTTATCCACAAGACTGGACAACGGACGACACGAGTGACACTTGACACACATATTTTTAAATGTTTGTGGAGCATTAATGTTATATATTTCTTTAGTCATTGCTTCATAATAAGTTAACAGGTAAGATTTGAATTTGCCGACAGTAACGCTTGCTTCTCGAATATGTGGTGGTAGGGAGTTATATATTTTGGAAGCTCTATTATAAAAACTGTTCTGGAAAGTTTTAATGTTACACTGTTAGTTGTAGCGCGCCTGGTGATACGATCGTTTGATACTATACTAATCTGAGAGTCATTCAATTTAATTGCCTTAAAGAGATACACCAAGTCCAGGTACTCGTGCCAGTAAGACAGAGGAAGTAAACCTGTTTTCAATAGTCTCTCCTGGTAACTAGTTTCAGACCTAAACGGCAGCGATAGGATGAATCTAGTACGTTGCACGTCTTTGAATCTTCTCGACTTCGAGGATTAAAGACACAGACTGCGGGGACCAGACTTGGGAGCTGTACGCGAAACGACTTCGTACTAACGTTTTATAAAGTGCGGTACGTGTACGAGGATCGTGCATCTTAATGGAGGACCTTTTTACGAACCCAAGCATTCTGTTTGCTTTCGCACACACAGCAGAGACTTGTTGGTTCCATTTGAGATCTGCAGTAATGAGAACGCCAAGATCTTTTTTAACAAGCTAGCCTTTTACAGACAACCGTTGAGTTGGCTGAGTTATCGCTGTTGAGATGGTAAGATGACTGCACAGGTTTGAGATTCCTTGTTACCTTAAGAACTCCACACTTAGTTTCGTTAAGGTTCATGCGCCACGTCCGACACCATTGGCTGATTCCATCCAGATCACATTGGAGAGCTTTTACGTCATCTGTTGTTCTTATGGCATGATAACACTTGGTATCATCAGCGAACAGAGCAACAGACGATGTGGTGGACTTTTCGGGCAGATCATTCACGTATACAAGAAACAATAAAGGGCCAAGGATTGAACCCTGAGGAACACCTGATAGAACGGGTATTGATCGGGATGTTTTTCCTAAAATGGTAACTTTTTGATAGCGATCTGATAGATAGTTATGAAACCAGCTCAGCAAGTTTCCGCAAACTCCAAAATTACTAAGTTTCTTGAGAAGCAGCTGATGGTCGAGCCTGTCAAACGCTTTAGCGGAATCGAGATAAAGGACATCAGTTTGGATTCTCTTGTCAAGTTACTCACCAAACTCGTGTAGAACCTTTAGTAATTGTGATGTTGTAGACTTCCCCCTGAGAAATCCATATTGGAGGTTATGCAGTTCACTTGAGACATGGTTGATCAATTGGTCGTATATGCAACGCTCGAGCACCTTTGATACAATTGGAAGTAAAGATATGGGTCGATAATTTGAAACTTCGTTCTTTTGACCACCTTTAGGAATGGGATTTATATTAGAAACTTTCCATTCCGCTGGTACACTACCGGAAGTTTAAGCTTCTATTGACGAGATCAGCAAGGGATGAGG